TATAAAAAAAAAACATTAATTAACTTGTGTACTACTTTTGTGTCTACATCCACTGCTCTGGATTTTTTTTTAACTGACGATAATACAAAGAACCTTCTTATCAAATTATAATAATATTAACATACCATTGATTTTAATAAATATTATTACAATTAATTATGTTGTTATACAAAACATAAATTAGTTTAAAAAAATGATTGAAATTTAANTTGTTCTACAAAACATAAATTAGTTGAAAAAAATGATTGAAATTTACAAACAAAAATTTTTAGTTAAATATTAAAAATTGTTTTAAATAGAACTATTATCTAATAGTTTCCAAATTATTTCAATGCAACTTACAGCGCATCAATGATACATAATATTTGTTTACGATCTCATTAAATGCAGCGAGACCTTTTTTGAGATAATTGAGTAATATAAACAAAAATCACATTATTTAATAAAATTCACTTGAAAAATGCAACCATAAAATACATTGTATACAGAGTGATTTTTTTATCATTACCCACTCAATTACTTATAGAATAATAATAAAGTAAACATTTTTATTTCCAANTATCATTACCCACTCAATTACTTACAGAATAATAATAAACTAAACATTTTTATTTCCGATTATCTTTAGTTACACATTATTGTTGAATTATTAATTATGTAACACTTTAAGTTCATCCCTTATACTATTTATGTATAATATATAAGGGATTATAAATACAGGCAGCTAATTGGTTTTTTATGACATTGCTGTCATAGTCACGGATTCTTTATTATCAATTATGACTATCATTAGATATACTTTCTGTATTGTCAGTTAGTGTATTTATAAACTCACAACAATGTGCCTTACTACTATTAATAATAACAATGCTGTGTACCTGCTAATATCGATGTCATAAAAAACCAATTAGCTACCTGTATTTGTAAACCCTTGTGTATTATACATGTATATTATCTCAAAATTTTTTACCCCTATTGCTTGAACACGTGCAGAAAAAAGTAATATTTATGTTTTAAATATTACGTTGTCTAAAAAAAATGTATAAAATATTAAAATATTATATTCAGTATTATAAATTAATTTCCATTTTTCAGTTAATATGTTAAATAAATTGAAACATAATATTATATTATGATTACTCAGTAATATTAATTAAAACTCGTAATACGTGTAACAACTATTTTTTTGGTTACATCCTTGAAACTCGTAATAAACCATCTTTTGAAAATTTACATTAAGTTTTTTGTGAAAATTATTCATGAAATTATATGTTTGTTATGTTAACAACTTTTCAAAACAGTAGCGTATTTAGGAGTAGACCGTAACCTAGGGTGTCATTTTTTCCAATTAAGAACTAAAATCTTATTAAATTTATTATTTATTTATATGTAACATAATTTATAAATTATATCAATTATTCTTAAAATGAATAAATAAAATAAAATTATATAAAATATATGTAACACTATATTTTCGAAAATTGAAGTATTGTTGTTTTAAAGTGTATTAACATTTAACATGTATGAAATTGTAAATACATTTTTGTTAGAATTTGTGTAATTAAATTATTTGTATAGTTTTAGCGAATTACTTAAAATAAATTCACATCAAATAAATTAAATTAGCAAATTATAAATGTATGTGTTAGTAATAAATTATTGTGATTAAAAAGTATTATATTAATTAAAAATAAATATTAAAATATTAAAAATCAAGCTGTATGAATTTAATTTTCAAAATATTTATTTATGTTATTACAATAAATTGCAAACAATCGTAAAACATAAATGTTCATCGAACAATACCTAATAGGCCGTATACCTAATAGAACAATAGAATCCGTTTGACGAACGTGACCGTTCCTTGAACGAATTTTGAGGAACGTGACCGTTCCTTGAACGTATTTCGAGGAACGTGTCCGTTCGTTGAACGTATACGTTCGACGAACGGACGATTCAAAAATAGACCCCCTGATGTTGGTGAAGTGGGAGGCGTAATAGCTCGTTCAGGCGTTCGCTGAATCCGTCTTGAAAGAAGGAGGAAGCGAAACGCCTGAGACAGAGGCTGCCACGCCACCCAGCATAAGAGGACCTAAGGCGCTGGTTTAGGATGGTGCCTTATGTTCTTGTTTTTGTGTTATTTGTGTTCTGTGAGTTATTTTGACAACCCTCTCTAACGTTTTTCATTGGGATCCAGCAAACGGGAGGAGGCCTCACCAAGTTGTGAATCAGCTTTTGATTAATTACGAGCTGATTCACAACGTGGTGGTGTGAATTATAAAGACGGCGTAGTAATGCCCTGAAGTAATGCCTAACGGTAGTTCCAGGGCGGACTACAGTAATGCCGATCATGAAAAAAAAATTAAAGGCTATGTCTAGGAAAAGGAATAAGGTATGTGGACTTATGAATGAATGTAGAATTATTTTGCAGTACATAATTATAACGATTAAATGTATTATACATGAATCATAAAATCTTATATATACAAATGTAGGTAAGGTGGGACACTTAATACTAATGTTACAATGGCGCTGATATCAACAAATAACAAAATCATAAATGTGAGTAAGTCTTAAATAGAAAATGAACAAGCACTATACTTTTCGGCTAATTGAAACGGTTGATGATAATGTTGAATATTGAAAGGATCAATTGAAGTCGAATACAAGTAGCCTACTGCTGTGAACGGTACTATTAGTATCTCAGAAACTATGTAGACCCAATAGCGATATACTGAGCGCACGAGAGGGTGACAATCACAAAGGTGATATTTTACTTTTACAAAAAAACGAATACAAAATTACTGCCTCGCAAGCCCCATAGAGCTTATAGCTGAAGATGGCGGTGACAACGCAGACATAGAGAGGAGAGCGACAACAACTCTGTGTAGCACAGCGATAGCATAAATAATCATAATAACATTTCTCGACAGCTCATTCGACCGATGTGTATCCAACATCATCTATATTTATTCCAACTATACCATGTCTATACTGTATCATGATCCTACTGAGCTACCGTTTTTAAATTAATTTAAGAAGATTTTATTATACTAATAAAATTTTCTTATTGAAATCTGATATTGATCGATGTATGGATTATAACAAAATGTGATTAAATTATGATTTTTTCTCGGGAACTATGAAGAAATACATTTTTTTATTTTAAGCGATTTAAACAATTTTTTTTTTTTAATTCTTTCGAGACAGTAATCCTGAGAACATATCTAATTTAAATGATTACATGATTTCAATCTTCACTAGTTTCAAATTTTTTATATATACAAACTTAAAAAAATGTATTGAGACAATTATTTAAAATTATAACTGCAAACAATAAAGGTACTATTCATTGCAAATCATTTATTTAAATTAGTAGACATTTTAATTTTAAATATACAAATAATATAGCTATTTTTGATGACTAAAATATGAGTATTTGAGTAGCTGTTGACTACATTTTTCTAATGTATAATGTATAATTCTAGTAAAAAATTTTTAAAAATTATGATTGCAACAAAATGTTGTCTTTGTTTGTTGTTAAACATTTTATATTTTACTCATAAAGTTTCATGTGTTAAAATGAAGGATATTGTTGACAATTTTGCTTTCTCTCTAGCATGTAATCATCTTAATAAAGTATGTGTTCAAAATAATGGAAACTTTGTATCTTTTGAAGACTTAAAAATTCTGGTAGTAAATACAGTACTGATAAAGTACAGAAGTTTGGATTATTCATGTCCTATTTTTCATAAATTTAAAGAACTATTGCCAGAATTTATTTACTGTAAGTATTCTGAAAGTATAACTGTTATTACTTTTTATATTATTTACCTAATGAAAGAATATATAATAAATAGTAATCGATATTTATTAGAATATGTTCAATATTTTATTGAAAGTTTAGAACAATTGGTAGCTTCTATACAAGAAGGAGTTCAGTACGTTAGCCAACTTAGGGTTAATGACAATCAATTTCAACTAATTCTGTATGCATTCATTTACAATCCATATAAGTCATATCCAATACAAGAAGATAACATACAGAATTACCTTACTAATGTATTATCTAAATTACACGAAAGTACAAACAATTATATGATACAAAATTGTAAATTTGCAAACGAAAATAATATCCCAACTTCGTTTAATTATCTATCAATGAATGAAAACATACCTCATGAAAATGAAAGTCGATGCGTATATTTATGTAAAATAACTGAAACACATTTTACTAGAGCTAACAATTTAATAATGATTCTGAATGAACTTTATTGCACAGTTTTTTTGTGATAATAATCAATAAATGTTAAAGGTATAGTTTTTGTACTATAATTATTAAATAATAATAAAAATAATTATTAAAAATATTTCCTCTTATATAAAATAGTAATTTTATTAATAAGTTAAAAAATAAAATGTTTAACAATAGTTTTTTATTGGTGTTCTTTTTTTTCTATTAATATGTGCAGGTATTAATAAAATATGAATTGGTATAATGAATAAATTAGTTTTGGCTGCCTAAATACTTCATTTTTTAACTCACTAAAAGCTCTAAAAACGATTTTAAACAGTTCTAAGCTAAAGAATGTGCAAAAGTTATATTTTTTGTCTTAAGAAATCGAAAGTGGATTAGAAATAGTTAAATTATTTTTAATGTAAATGATATTTTAAATGCATGTAAGAAAAATAAACTCGTTTTATGCTTTACAATTACTGAGATTTTAATTTTTTTGGGAGAAAAACAATAGTATTTTAGAAAATTTTTAATTTAAATTATTTAAATGATTTTAAATTTTCAGAATATTATTTTTTTATACTAAAGAAAAAAATGGAGGGGTGTCCCGAAAGAAATTTCGAAATCCGAAAAATAAGGACCACCCTACTACTCATCCACTTTTATTTTACCTTTTATTACTTATAATTTTTTTTGAGTTATTACAAAAGCTTGAAATAATATGGTGTAGAATAAAGTAGGTTACATAAGTGTATAAAACAAATAAACGACATGTAGCATTTTATTATATTAATATAAAAAATACTTTTATAAAAAACTGACGACATACAATGTATCAAACAATAATAATAATATAAGGAGCCATGTAGGCTACAGTAAGCAATTCAATATTCGTATTTACTTTTGTGGTTGTATTATTAGCTTTACATTAATTTCTTAGTTTATTAGTCGTGGTTGTTTGTTGGACATTGCGCTGTATGTTCAATTAATTAAACTTGTGTATATATATAAAACTCTATTTTAAAACAATGTGTATTTTTTATCATTATATTGTTTATTGAAGAAGTATAATTTAATAAGTAAAAACAATATTTCATTCAAAATTCATTTATGCATAATAGACAACAAAAAATATTCTCATAGACCTGTGTTATTCATAAAAAAAAAAACATAAAGAATGATTAAACAACGCATGTTATTTATTAGAAAATAATAATTTATTAACCTTAAAAAAATATGTATATTTATATCACGTAAAAATTCATGTGCGTATATATAATTATACAAAGCCGTATTTAAAAGACGAGGTGTATCACCATATAACTCCCAATAATTAAAGGTTCTATTAATTTCAATTAATATTAAATTTTGTATAATATTAATTATTAAATATTTTCTAGTAAAAACCAAATATATAAATGTGGCAAATAAATGCTATAATTGTATTTTTGGAATATTATTTGGAAAGACTACAGTTAAAAAAGTTATTTTTTAATCTGTTAAGAATCGTAAATATTTAAAATGCTTGAAGTAACATCATCTCCATTTTTAAAATCATATCCCACATTCAGTTCGTCAAATATAGAGTTATCTTCTAATGTTTTAATGAGTTTATTAATTTTGCTTATTTCATTTTCATTCTTATGCAATAGATTGTCTGAAATAAAATAAAATTATAAATAAACAGCACAGTGGGGTCGCGGCACAGTGGGGACGTGGCATAGTTGGGCCAAGTATAATGATAACTAATAGTTATTAATATCACTATCATAAAAAACCTTTCGATGCAAATCTGTAGATAGTGTTTAATTAAAAAAAAATGATGGATTATTCCAAAAGCTATATTTCCATATTTATATCTTGATTACAAATTTTATTATTTATAAGTGTAATATCTGAATAAATAAATTAATATATATATATATATATATACATATATAATAAATAGAGTATATATATAATGTATTCTAATACGTTTATAATATATACATATATAAAGGGAAATGATATTATTTTCAAAAAAAGTATGACAAATGAAAGAAGTATATAAATTGTATTTATCATGAAAAAATTATATTGTTTCATATATTTTTAAAAAAGTTATAGCATTATAAAATTAAAAATATAAAAAAGAATTTCTTACGAAAATCTTAATTTTTTGATTAACTTTTATGTAAATTTTCACCACGAAAACAAACTAAAGTCTGAAAATTTTCTTTTTCTTATCAAAGTATATTACAATGTTATGGCAGTTTTAAGAAAAAAAATGTCGAAAATTAGCGATTTTTAAATTTGTAATTTTTTTGGAGATTTCCACCATTTACGGTTGACGAGGGAAATTTTCAATTTTCGAGGGTAATGTGTTTGACTAGATACGATTTGTGATTTTTGACGTATTGTTGAAAGAAATTGGTTCGGTGAGAGCTGAGAAAAAGTAGTAACAGACACACAAAAAAAACACATCATTGTAAAATTAATACTTTCTCATCTTCACATCTAAGTTAAAAAGAAATAGTGTTAAGTCGCACAATAATCTCATGGTGAAGCAATTCAAATTATCATTTTTAAATAAATTCAATAAATTTATTTTTAACTATTTATTAGGCATTCTTTTAAATTTTATCACTACCGATACATTCCAATAAAGATTTATTTATCTTTAATCTTTTTTAATCAATTTTCAATATATATTTATCTATTTTTGAATAGCTATCAAATTTTATTAATCTATATAAAATTTTTTGGTATATTTTTACGTAAATATTAGCACTTTAATTTTATTTCAAATTTTTTCTAAGAATCAAATAAATATAAATATGAAGAAATATTAAAATTTGTGTTAAATTTGAAATTTTTAGTAAAAAAGAAAAGTACGATATTTGAATAAGTTAGCGACGTTTAAAAACCCAATTTAGTCATAAATCTTTTTCATGTTTTTCATATTTAATATGTCCGTTTTCTTAAAAAGTAATCCCTAACAAAGTTTTTTCCAATCATATTCAGTTCTATCAGTAATTTCAAAATACACAATATCTGCGACACTCTACTTAAGATTTTTACTCACTATGACTTAGTCGTCTTTTCATTTTATTTGGAAATAAAATATTTTTTAATTTATAAACACTTAATTTTTTTTTCAATTTTTTCGACTTGGAATATTTATTAAATTAAATGGAACTTAGAATATTTTAATGTGAATTTTGTCATAGTGATTATTGTGCTGCAACCTTTCAAAGCGTGTGTCGTAATATGGACAATGATTTGCATTACTCATCTTACATTTATTAATAAAAATAACTTATAATCTATATTTTCTATTACTTGTTTACAAACAAATAATCAATTTATCTGTCATAACATATACGCTGTTGTACACTAGCTATTATATATATACATACATGTTAAATTGATTATTGTATACTATGCATCTTATCTTAAATATATTTATAATTTTATGTTCAAATTTTATACAATAAACTAAAAATCACTAAAAGCGTTGACAGCAACAACCCTTGATGGTGTAATATTATATTATTACTTATAATATTAAAATATTATATTATGTTATCTTTTGTACATGTATGTCATATATTATGAATTCACAAGATCACCAAAACAGGGTTCCCTTATCTAAGACTTAAAATAATCAATAAAGTAGTCAATTAAATCTGATTATCGTACAGATTCAAAGTCACGCCCATGTGAGGGTTCTCAACTAAGTCCAGCCAATCACATTCAACTATTAATTGAGATCTACAGTTTCTAAGATCACACTAGGGATCGCTACACGACCCTCGTCTACTATAAAAACCCATTTTTTCCTATTAAAATCAGTTCTTTCGGCTATTTTAAATTACACAAAATCTGCGACACTCTACTCAAGATTCTACTCTCTGGGACTTAGTTTATTTTTTAATTTATTTGGACTTAGAATATTTTTCAATTTTTAAAACACTTAGTCGTTTTTTTTAATTTATTTGGACTTAGAATATTTTTCTTTAAAACTAAATGACACTTAGAAATTTTAAAGTGAATTTTGTTTTGGTGAATCTTTTAATTTAATTTAATTTGTTCATTATATAATGATATTTTATTTTTATTTTACCATGGAAATAAATGTTAATTAATATTTTAAAATAAAACATTTTTTTTTTATAATAAAACCGAATCGAATCTAATTTTCTCAGTTAATGATAAATATTGATTATATGACTAAGTGTATTGCAACTCTATACTTACTGGGTAGCTAATCTTCTGTGGTTTAATGTCTTTGTTCTAACGAACATCGCGCCGGCAGACAGAGTAAAGGTTGCAATTAAATATTTTTAAAGTTAGGTGTTAGGTTAGAATATATTTGTAAGCCTATGTGTATTGGGTAGCTAATCTTCTGTGGTTTAATGTCTTTGTCTTAACAAACATCGCGCCGGCAGACAGCACAGAGAAACTTACAAATATATGTTTTTAGTGTTTAATTTTTGTCTTGGTGATTATTGTGCCGCATCCTTTCAAGGTGCTTTAATTTAGCACCGGGACACATTGGGCCACCACAATTCCGCCCTGACAAATCTTTTACATAGATATAAATATTTCTGAATCTTGTTTTGGCCAGGCCAGAGGAAAATTTAAGAAATATTGGTGTCGATCTCTCAATAAAATATAATCTCTCAAACAATATACTCATTCTACTAAGTCAACTAAAGATACATTATTTGATTATAATTATAAAAATATAGAGTGTATAGAATCTCTTGCATACAATAATACAGTCATAGATTTTGTGTAACGGTTTCGTATTATTTATAATTAAACGCTTTATTCTCAAACGGTCATATTTACTGTCGAAATCAAAGTGTACAACGTGTGAAATACAGTGTAAACTCATAATCAACATTGGATTGTCAAAAATAAACATTACACTACGTGGGATACAAGGTAAGTACAAATTTAAATTCCCGCTTTCAAATTATAAATACTATATTGCGTAATAAACCATTAAGATAGGTAATAAAGTTTGGTAGGATAATTGACTTCATTTATTCAATATTGTTCAACCCCGAGATCAGTTCATTATTTTTGTCACAACGTTTTTGTGCATTTTTATTTATTTGATCATTACCCTCATGTATTTAAACTCCGTTTATTCACCCCTCTGAATCATTTTTTATTCATATTATTATATTCTTTGCACCCTTACATATCTTGCCACATTTAAACATGTGTTACTCCGCCATTTACCATCTTATTTAATAATTTTTATTATTATTCGGCCATACATACGCTATATTATGTCTTTAGTCTGACTAAGAACCAACCCTTAGATTTTCTTTTGGTACAATATAAGCATTCACACCTTCAATAGTAAAATCCACATCACCACCATTTTTTTCCTTATCCTCCATTATTAATCCCTATAAACCTACCTATCATCTTATAATATTTTATTATACCTACCATTTATTATATTTTATTATTTTACATTCCAACCAAATTCTAATAAACTCTTTTCCTTTTTAATATTTTTTCTTTTTGGTTTATTACAATGGGGGTAATTAAAAATAATATAAATAGGCGCTGATTTTGTAAGAGAGATCACTTTTGAAGCTCTGAATTCAATGAAGAATTCAGAATTCTTTTGTCCAACTTATATTTTTCAAGCTAGCCGAGACCCCGCATTGTCATCGGTACATTTTAAGTAGATATTGAATATAATCATTTTGCGTCAAGATTTTTTTTATTTATTTAAAAGGAGCATTATAAATCTTTACGGAAGCCATCTAAAAGGGTAAATAATTTAATATTAACCCAATTATTTAGAATTAATAATCTGAGTAAAGAATGATAAAGCAATAGATCATGTATTTATGTTCATTTTTTAAACTTTCATTAACCATCACTGACTAGTTTGTACCTTATACATAATCACATTATATGGAATTCGTGAGATGGCCACCGCCTCTTCGTTGCCTCAGTGTATCATTTCAGGTACTTGTCAGATAGGTCATTTATAATACATCTATAGAGAAGTTTTAATAATTTATTTTTATATCTACTTGTCTTTATTGTTCTAAACCCTCGGACTCTACAACCCCAATAGAACCTCGTTGCTCACGAATTTACCAAATCTCCAAATATCCAGCCTGGGTCAAAATACCCTAATATTACCTAATCACATAGTAATAGACGTCTTTTAAATATATATTTTTTATATTACTACACGTGTGTTCAAAAGTTACGCGTGTAGACCGGTCAAGCTCCACATAACTTAAAATCACACATTCCCCTTCTCGTTGCTTGACCTATGGCAATCACAGTTGTCGTGTCCAGCACTATCGGTACCTAGATCATTACGTACGTATACGTGTTTGAGGTCGAGCATTACCATTGGGTGGGTTGACTCGTAGCCAGTGATTTGGCGTGTTTTTTTTTTTGTTGTTGGTTGGTTTGTATAGTCCGGTTTAGTCGACATCCAACAGTTCCTCTCATCCGTTACGGATATAAAATACAGCCTTGATAACTATTTTACATAGATATAAATATTTATGAAATTTGTTTTATCCAGACTAGAAGAAACTTTAAAAAATATTGGTGTCGATTTATCAACAAAGTATACTTTCTCAAAAAATTTTTTTTTTTAAAAAATAAAATAATAAACAAACTCAAATCAAAATATAATGTTTAGAATCTTTTACACATAAATATCAGTCGTAGATTTTATGCAACGAAATCATATTATTTGAAATCTAAAATACGTGGTTCGTAAATAATTATATTGACTATACAACGAATAGTGTGAAATATATATGTAGTACATTTAATACACGAATCAACGTTGGATACTTAAAATATTATTACATGACATAAGATTAAGATGAGTGCAAATTTATTTCATGTTTTCAAACTACAAACAATCAATTGCCTAATAAACCATAAATTTTTATAAGAATATATAACATCATTTTGTTATATATAACAACAATATTGTACAACTCCCGACATCACTACATTATCTTACCACCTTTACCTTTAATTTTGTCCCTTTTAGCCATTTCACAATTTTTACCTTTTATTTAGTCTATCCACCTACTTATTTATCTTATTAAAACACTTTGATTACATTTTTTCTTTTTGGTTTATTACCTCTCCAATCACGTCCTCGCCTATTGTCACTGACCTCCTCATTTCACCTACCTCGTGTTCTCCTTTATCAAACTCGTACTCTATATACTCTGTCTTACTTCTACTTATTCTTAAACCCATTTATTCAAGAGCTGACCTCCATACCTCTAGCTTTTGATTAATTTCCTCCCTATTTTCTTTTAATAACACTATATCGTCAGCAAACAACATGCACCACGCACCTCTCCTTGTATTTCTCTAGTAATTTCATCCATCACTATAGAGAATAAATAAGGGCTTAAAGCAGAACCTTGGTGCACTCCTACTCTTATCCGAAAACCTTCTGATACTCCTCCTACGCTTTTTACTCTGGTACAAGTGCCATCATACATATCTTCTATTATATTAATGTATATTTTTGGGACTCCTTTTCACATTAATCCCCACTTTAAAACCTCTCTCGGTACTCTGTCATACGCTTTTTCCAAATCTATAAATACCATACAAAGCTTTTTCTTCTTTTCCCTAAACTTTTCTATTAGTTGTCTCACACAAAAATCTAATACCTACTTATTTATTTTATTAAATCACTTTTGATTATAATTTTTCTTTTTGGTTTATTACAACTTTAGATCAAATAGTATAATCCTATATAGAGGGTAGTAAGTACCCTTATTTAGGTCCCTGCTTTTAAAACAAATAATAATAAATAAGATTTAAGTATGACTTATAAATATTTTTATATTTTATAATACATTTAAAAATATATTCAATTTAAATTAAAGAATTGAGTTATTATGAAAAATAATATATTTATTTGTCATAAAAATTTTTATTAAAAAGGTGATCATTGATTATACTGCGCAACGTCCCAATTAATGTATAAATATTATCAATAATATTGATTATTTGTAAAAATGAAAACTCTTACCGTTTATAATATAAAAGTAACCAATTAACAATTTTATCATCATGTCATTTCTTTTTTTTACTGCTTTATTAAAAAATTCCTCTACAAACCAGATCAAATAATTAATATAATATTATTAAAATGGATCAATAGGATTACTTTAGTTAGTTAGTTTTAGTTATTAGTAAATTCATAGTCAAGGGCATAGTCACTATATTGGTTTTTCTTGAAAGTGTAATGTGCTTAGTCTGTGGAGCTTTGTTGTTTTTATTCTTGTTCTTACACATATTTCTTAATTAGAACTCTGATTTTTACAATATTGTTCCTTCTTGTGGTATATCCATCCTTTTCCTACAAGTTGCCGATAAAGGTCCACCACAGGAGAGCCCGGTGCTCAGTGTCATACAGTTCCCAAATGTCAACTTAACCTTTCTGTTTACTACCCCATTAACAAGTATGGTCACTTGGTATGGAGGGTTGTGAGTCCCATAATTTGGAAATGACTGGATGTATTATCAATGCTTCTATTCCCACTAAATTACTAAGATCCGCGGGGTTGGGATTCCCATAATTTTTTTAGTATCTCTTACGATAATTCATAGGGTTCCCACTTAACAAGATTTGATTTATTGTTTTAAATTTAGGTATAAACTCCACAATAAATTTTGAGGATATTATGTTGTCGAAGTTTAAAAAAGTTTTTTAAACACATCTATAGTCAAATCTAGTAAACTATAGTAGTTTTTATATACACACAATTTTTTTGGTTTAGAATTGTAAAAATTTAGGTTATTAAATGAGTTAACTCCTTTAATTCCATTCATCCAAATAAAACAAAAGAAAAGATTTTGGTAATCGGGCGTTCATCGTTTCCGCCAAATCTAATTAAGGTACGATTTTCGTTTCCACCAAACCGATAGTTTATACCTGTCTATAAAAAGAATCTTGAGAACCACTGGTTAAAATATATGCCAAAATACCCGACAATAATTATCTACTATTCATTTAATCGAACTTTTTCTATTTTTATTGTTATTAGATAGCAGTGCATTGATAATTATGAATCATTTCATTCACATTTTAATGAACAATTTTTTAAGGCGCATCTTTTTATTAATAATTTTTTTAAAATTTGAATAAAAAATATTTAGTCTTATAATTACATTAAAATATATAGTTTTGATAATTCAGTATCAAAAAGCGTACGGTATAAAATTGAAATCCGTTTCAGAAAAACAAAAGAGACAATGATAAATTTAATAACAATGAAATTAGACGATTTGAATTTGTGAAATTAGTTTTCAACAACTATCAAAAAATTTATAGATCATAGATCTATTTTTTATTTATTATTAAAGGTATTAGATATTTTTTAAGCTTATTGTTAATTTTTGAATTCTATTTCAATGTTTTGATGACTTTTTATTTTCTTATAAACTATATTTTTATTATTCATTACAAATATATATATATTTATACATACTTAAGATAGTTATCTATTAGAATTTATTTACTTTAGGTAAAACGCCATAATTTCTTTATAAAGTTATTCCTATGTGATAAAATAAGTAATTATTCAAAACGATGTGACCATATTTAGAGGTGGTTAAGGGGTTCAAAAATTCTTGGGGGCGAATGTCATTTGATAGTGATAGAACAAAAAATTACTTTATTTAGCTCATTAATATTAATACCCCACGCAAAAATCTTAAATACAAGCCTGAACGAAACATTCAATAAAAGCCAAACAATTTGGTACTGGCAGCTACCTAACCTAGCTGTATGTTAAAACCAAAGGCGTAAAGCATTTAAGTAAATGTATTTGAATAAAAGTATTCAAATACTTTCATTGGTATTGAATAGTATTTTTAAATACATTTAATAAAAAGTATCTGAGTAGTATTTTAAATACAATTATTTAGTATTTAATATACTTTTTTTTTTTAATTTGCTAACCGTAACACAGCAAGCAAATTAAACTCAGTCAAAATGAAAATTGAGAATAATTCTCTGTTATTTTATATGTTACATTATAGTATAACATAATTATTGTGCTTATCTAAATGCTATTATGTATACATCTATTTTTAATACATCAGTTGAACCTACAATAGCCTATTGCAGGTTCAAATGATTTACTCTATTGTCAATAAGACATACTTTACAGGTTTTTACACGTGTACTAATATTTATTTTTTTCACTGATTAGTCTCCAATAATTAATTTTATTTACCTCTAACAAAAAATATCGAAAATAATAAATGAGTTCTCTTAATTTAAGAGTACTCAATATTTGACTCAAATTACCCTCTTGGTAATTATTTAGGTGGAACCTTTTGCTCTTAGTTAAATTAAACTTTATTATTATTTTTTAATTGTATTCTTAGTATTTTAAATACTTTTGTAAAGTAATTGAGTATTACTCAAATATTTTGTATGAAAAGTATTCAAATAGTATTTTAAATACATTTTTTTTTAAATATTTGAATATTATTTAAAATACTTTTTAAAAGTATTTTTTACAACTATGGTTAAAACCTATATTGGATCGTCATGATGAACCATGAATCAAACTAAATGGTTCTCAAATTTTTTAGTAGATAGATAGGTAGAGGATTAGTTTGGCGGAAACGATACTTTGTGGAAACGATACGGTCAATTTTGGCGGAAACGATAATCTCCCTGGTAATCAATAAAATATACTAATTTACTTACCATCTATGTCATTACAATCTTCATTAACGTTATCAATAAAGATATTATTATCTAAAAAATTTTAATTTTTTGTATTTTAATATTAAAATTAAAAAATTAGTTTGGCTATTAAGTATATAGTGGGAAGATTCGATAACGCGACAATGCCTGTTGCACACTGTCTCAGGTTCGAGACTTGGTTACGGGCATCATTTCTTTATTTTTACTGCTTTATTGAAAAATATCTCTACAAACTAAATCAATTTAATAATACTATTATTAAAAAGGATCAATAGGGTTACTTAAGTTAGTCAGTTTTAGAAAAGTGGGTATAAACACTATATCGAGTTTTATGATAAAAATCGGATTTTCAGCAAAGTGTAATGTCCTTAGTTCTATATAATTATTTATGTATATAGTTACACACTATATTTATAGGGTAAAATTGTAAAAATTAGGTATTTAAACGTCTTTAACTCTATTCATCCAAATAAAACAGAAGTTAGGAATTCGGGAATCAACAAAACATTACTAATTTACTTACACCTTATGTCATTATAATTCGTATAATCCATAGTACATTCTAAAAAAATTAAATAATATGTAATTTATTATTAAAATTTAGGTTGAAACTCTATAGTAAATTGTAAGATCATGTGTCAAAATATAAAATATTGTCTTAAGTCTTTTAGTGTAAAATCTAAAAATTTTAAGTATTTAAACTCCTTTAAGTGTAATGTTCTATATTGAATGTTTTTCTTAATTGGATCCCTGATTTTTACAATATTGTTCCTTCTTGTGGTATATCCATCCATCACCTTCAAGATGCTGATAAAAGTCAATCACAGCAGAACACGGTACTGTGGTAAATCTATATACTCTATGGTGTGCCTAGTGTCATACAGTTCCCAAGAGTCAACTTAACCTCACTGTAAACTACCTCAGTTACAAGTCTTCTTACTTTGTATGGAGGGATGTAAGGCTTAATTGCTGTTTGTAAGCAGGTTTGTCCATGCCTACCAGTTCCGTAAATTGGAAATTACTGGATGTATTATCAATGATGTGTGTTTCTATTCCCATTAAACTACTAGGATCCACGGGTTGGGATTCACGTAATTTTTTTAGGATCCCTTACGATAATACATAGGGTTCCTACTTAACAAGATTTTTTTTTATTGTTTAAAATTTACGTAGAAAATCTACAATAAATTTTGAGGGGATTATGTTGTCAAAGTTTAAAAAAGTTTTTTAGAAATGTCCAAACACATATATAGCCCAATCTAGTGAACTATAGTAATTTTTGTATCCACACTATATTTTTTAAGTGTAAAATTATAAAAAATGACGTATTTAAATGAGTTAACTCCTTTAATTCTATTCATCCAAATAAAACAAAAGGAAATATTTTGGTAATCAACAAAACATTATTAATTTACTTACCATTTATGTAATTATAATTTTGATTAACGATATGTTTACCTAAAAAATTTGTATTTTGTATATTTTAATATTAAAATTTAAAAATTAGTTTGAGTATAAGTCCCACCATTTAAGTATATGGTGGGACGATGTAGCCTATTCGGGAATGCGGCAATGCCTGTTGCACATTATCTTGGGTTCGAAACTTGGTCACGACCATCTCCATTTGCTGAACGAAACCTGTATTTAGTGATTGGAGTTGCCGTCCCTTTCTCTGGCGACTGACTAACAAACCATCTCGATGTATACATAGTTAAGAAACTTTCTTTTAGGGAAGGTCGCAACCGCCCTCAATGGAGAGTAAAAAGTGAAAAAAAAACTTTAAGTATAATAATTGAATTCATTGCTTTAAAAAATGTATTTAAAATTTTTTAATTAATTACCTGTGATATAATAGTAAATAAAATTTTCATCACTTATATAGATTTTAAGTTTTCCATCTAACGAAGAAAAGATTAGAAAATTAAATAAGAATTTTATATTTGAGCACCTACAATACTTGATTCTATAACGAAATGACGCATTTATAAAGCAATAATGTTAAATATTTAGAAAAATATATAATTCGTTATTACCTGCATTATCTAATCTCGAAATACTTGATAAATCTATGTGATGAATATTATAATATATATAGTAATAATTGATCACTTGTGGTTAACATATTTAAAATTAAGAATATATATAAATATTAATTTAAAACCTATAACAGGACAAACTAAAAGAAATATAGTGGTCAGGATTAAAAACACCTAAGAAATGTATAAAATAAAGAAGACAATAAAGATCTTCTTTGATAAACAGTTATTGAAATATAATCACTCCACTTTGTAGCAATTCTAATGGCTTTTTGAGTAAATTTTTAGTTTTAAATTAATATTTTATATTTATTTTTAACTTAATGTAATATACATATTAATAATATTAAAAAGATAATACATGTATAATTTAATCAAATTCAATTTAGTATCGAGATTAATTATTTTTTATGAACTTTTATTTCATGCATTAAAATATTATTTTTAATTATGTGATGTATACTGTGCCGGATTTTCTATTTATTTATTATTATTTTTTTTATAAAGACTAAGAAATAATCTATACTGGATCATATATAAATAAAATGTTATCTGAGACAACATAAAATTTGCCAACTCTTTTTAATATGACCTTAAAATAATTGAGTATTTATTTTCTAATTGTTAAAATGATTTTTTTATTATGAACTTATTTAATTGAAAAATAAAAATAATACTAATAATTTTCTCTTTGGTTTCATTTAGATAAATATATTACTCAATTTATTAGTCATGAAGTATTTTTTATATTCATCCGTTTAGATTCATTTATATGTCAACATTATGTTTCAAGTGGCACTATACATATTTAACCAGCTTATAAAATAAAAAATGATCTCATTAAAGAGAAAATGGCCAATAACAAGTTTTAAACCACTATTTGAGAATTTATTGATATATTTATATCTAGGTTGAATGAAGAGTACGTCTGAGAAATGATTAGTGATAAAAATAGCAGTACCCGTTCTAATATTAATTTAATTTAAATAAATATTAACTTCTAAAATATTCCCTCGAAAGTTTTTATGAACCAGTCATTTTATTATTAGATCAGTATTTAATAAATAAACTTATTAATTATGCATGTTGTTTTTAAAATAATAAAGTAAAATAAGTTATATATGATAAAAGAATCACCCTGTTTGAAAAACTAGAATCATTATCAGAATATAATTCTGTACATTAAAAAACAAATATGCTGACAGCTGTCTAGTGTTTCTAACCCTCTCGACTCCAAAAAAAATTTGCTACTGTATATAATTTAAACATATTGTGTGATTAATAATACAAAAAATTATTTTACCATATCTTACGAACGTTTCTTCTAATGATCCTATGAACATTTAAAATTTAGTGTCATCATATTCAATGCCAATTATTATGTAAAATCAATGTAAAAGTTTATGAGAAATAATTATAATTGTCTAAATATAATAATAATTGAAATTAAAATTTGCCAATGTTTTCAGCTCCCTTCTTCAATAAATGATATATATATATATATATCCATATTTTATATACTTACTATCTGAAGCTTCTTTAATATGACGATTAAACTTTTTATAAAAGCTTTCTAAAAAAAATAATATTAATAGATTCAAAAATGTTTAACTTTTCATTAAATATTATTTAAATTTAATTGTATAGTTAATTTAATAATGTTTTCTATAGTATAGGATGCTACGTGTTATTCTTATGTATAGTTTTATACCTTTGCATGATTATACAAAAAATATTAAATTTTAATACTAAAACTATGATGAAAATTAGGGCACGATTAGTATTTTGCAGAAAAAGTTTTAATTCTGAATCATTGAAACGAAAATATAGTAAAATTTTAATTACTAGAATCAGGAAAGATCAAAAATACGTTTGATATTTGTTTACTGAGTTATTCACCATGGATGTATTCAAAATTAATTTTTTTACTGTGTAATGTAGGCTAGAGAAAATCTTTTGCTAAATAGCAAATAAAATATTTGGCTATAAATATATTAATATATTTACAATCGGCTGCTAAAAAATTATATACCTAGTTGTTAAATAGAAAACATAATAAATAAATAATGAATAGAGAATAGCCAAAAAAATAACTTAACATTTTTTTTAATTGGAATTAAAATATATAATGACTGATTGTATATTTGAACATTTTTCAGTAAAATATTCACTGAATATGTTCATATAGAAGTAGAACACATCTAAGTGACAACTCATACATAACATTTTATTCTTTTTTTTTTTTTTTAATCAATTTTTACAACATAGAACTATATTTAAAATATGTTTTAAGTTATTTTTCGCGATTACGAAAAATATTTTAAAAATTAATTGTTTTTAAGATTTGAAAATAGCCATTTTATAGGTCAGTTTTACCTATAATAGGAAAAATTTTGATACCTAAAACTCGTATTTTAATTTAATAGTTACGTTTATACAGCATTTTAAAATTTGTTAAATTTTAATTTTTTAGTCTCGATGCGAAATTGAGAAGATATTGGTTTTACTATGATGTGTCTTTTTTTTTTTTTGTGTCTGTTACCACTTTTTCTCAGCTCTCACCGAACGGATTTCTTTCAACGATACGACAAAAGATCACAAATCGTATCTAGTCGAAGACATTACCCTTCAAAATTGAAAAAATTTCCCTCGTTCCCTGTAAATGGGGAAACCTCCAAAGANGGATTAGTTTGGCGGAAACGATACTTTGTGGAAACGATACGGTCAATTTTGGCGGAAACGATAATCTCCCTGGTAATCAATAAAATATACTAATTTACTTACCATCTATGTCATTACAATCTTCATTAACGTTATCAATAAAGATATTATTATCTAAAAAATTTTAATTTTTTGTATTTTAATATTAAAATTAAAAAATTAGTTTGGCTATTAAGTATATAGTGGGAAGATTCGATAACGCGACAATGCCTGTTGCACACTGTCTCAGGTTCGAGACTTGGTTACGGGCATCATTTCTTTATTTTTACTGCTTTATTGAAAAATATCTCTACAAACTAAATCAATTTAATAATACTATTATTAAAAAGGATCAATAGGGTTACTTAAGTTAGTCAGTTTTAGAAAAGTGGGTATAAACACTATATCGAGTTTTATGATAAAAATCGGATTTTCAGCAAAGTGTAATGTCCTTAGTTCTATATAATTATTTATGTATATAGTTACACACTATATTTATAGGGTAAAATTGTAAAAATTAGGTATTTAAACGTCTTTAACTCTATTCATCCAAATAAAACAGAAGTTAGGAATTCGGGAATCAACAAAACATTACTAATTTACTTACACCTTATGTCATTATAATTCGTATAATCCATAGTACATTCTAAAAAAATTAAATAATATGTAATTTATTATTAAAATTTAGGTTGAAACTCTATAGTAAATTGTAAGATCATGTGTCAAAATATAAAATATTGTCTTAAGTCTTTTAGTGTAAAATCTAAAAATTTTAAGTATTTAAACTCCTTTAAGTGTAATGTTCTATATTGAATGTTTTTCTTAATTGGATCCCTGATTTTTACAATATTGTTCCTTCTTGTGGTATATCCATCCATCACCTTCAAGATGCTGATAAAAGTCAATCACAGCAGAACACGGTACTGTGGTAAATCTATATACTCTATGGTGTGCCTAGTGTCATACAGTTCCCAAGAGTCAACTTAACCTCACTGTAAACTACCTCAGTTACAAGTCTTCTTACTTTGTATGGAGGGATGTAAGGCTTAATTGCTGTTTGTAAGCAGGTTTGTCCATGCCTACCAGTTCCGTAAATTGGAAATTACTGGATGTATTATCAATGATGTGTGTTTCTATTCCCATTAAACTACTAGGATCCACGGGTTGGGATTCACGTAATTTTTTTAGGATCCCTTACGATAATACATAGGGTTCCTACTTAACAAGATTTTTTTTTATTGTTTAAAATTTACGTAGAAAATCTACAATAAATTTTGAGGGGATTATGTTGTCAAAGTTTAAAAAAGTTTTTTAGAAATGTCCAAACACATATATAGCCCAATCTAGTGAACTATAGTAATTTTTGTATCCACACTATATTTTTTAAGTGTAAAATTATAAAAAATGACGTATTTAAATGAGTTAACTCCTTTAATTCTATTCATCCAAATAAAACAAAAGGAAATATTTTGGTAATCAACAAAACATTATTAATTTACTTACCATTTATGTAATTATAATTTTGATTAACGATATGTTTACCTAAAAAATTTGTATTTTGTATATTTTAATATTAAAATTTAAAAATTAGTTTGAGTATAAGTCCCACCATTTAAGTATATGGTGGGACGATGTAGCCTATTCGGGAATGCGGCAATGCCTGTTGCACATTATCTTGGGTTCGAAACTTGGTCACGACCATCTCCATTTGCTGAACGAAACCTGTATTTAGTGATTGGAGTTGCCGTCTCTTTCTCTGGCGACTGACTAACAAACCATCTCGATGTATACATAGTTAAGAAACTTTCTTTTAGGGAAGGTCGCAACCGCCCTCAATGGAGAGTAAAAAGTGAAAAAAAAACTTTAAGTATAATAATTGAATTCATTGCTTTAAAAAATGTATTTAAAATTTTTTAATTAATTACCTGTGATATAATAGTAAATAAAATTTTCATCACTTATATAGATTTTAAGTTTTCCATCTAACGAAGAAAAGATTAGAAAATTAAATAAGAATTTTATATTTGAGCACCTACAATACTTGATTCTATAACGAAATGACGCATTTATAAAGCAATAATGTTAAATATTTAGAAAAATATATAATTCGTTATTACCTGCATTATCTAATCTCGAAATACTTGATAAATCTATGTGATGAATATTATAATATATATAGTAATAATTGATCACTTGTGGTTAACATATTTAAAATTAAGAATATATATAAATATTAATTTAAAACCTATAACAGGACAAACTAAAAGAAATATAGTGGTCAGGATTAAAAACACCTAAGAAATGTATAAAATAAAGAAGACAATAAAGATCTTCTTTGATAAACAGTTATTGAAATATAATCACTCCACTTTGTAGCAATTCTAATGGCTTTTTGAGTAAATTTTTAGTTTTAAATTAATATTTTATATTTATTTTTAACTTAATGTAATATACATATTAATAATATTAAAAAGATAATACATGTATAATTTAATCAAATTCAATTTAGTATCGAGATTAATTATTTTTTATGAACTTTTATTTCATGCATTAAAATATTATTTTTAATTATGTGATGTATACTGTGCCGGATTTTCTATTTATTTATTATTATTTTTTTTATAAAGACTAAGAAATAATCTATACTGGATCATATATAAATAAAATGTTATCTGAGACAACATAAAATTTGCCAACTCTTTTTAATATGACCTTAAAATAATTGAGTATTTATTTTCTAATTGTTAAAATGATTTTTTTATTATGAACTTATTTAATTGAAAAATAAAAATAATACTAATAATTTTCTCTTTGGTTTCATTTAGATAAATATATTACTCAATTTATTAGTCATGAAGTATTTTTTATATTCATCCGTTTAGATTCATTTATATGTCAACATTATGTTTCAAGTGGCACTATACATATTTAACCAGCTTATAAAATAAAAAATGATCTCATTAAAGAGAAAATGGCCAATAACAAGTTTTAAACCACTATTTGAGAATTTATTGATATATTTATATCTAGGTTGAATGAAGAGTACGTCTGAGAAATGATTAGTGATAAAAATAGCAGTACCCGTTCTAATATTAATTTAATTTAAATAAATATTAACTTCTAAAATATTCCCTCGAAAGTTTTTATGAACCAGTCATTTTATTATTAGATCAGTATTTAATAAATAAACTTATTAATTATGCATGTTGTTTTTAAAATAATAAAGTAAAATAAGTTATATATGATAAAAGAATCACCCTGTTTGAAAAACTAGAATCATTATCAGAATATAATTCTGTACATTAAAAAACAAATATGCTGACAGCTGTCTAGTGTTTCTAACCCTCTCGACTCCAAAAAAAATTTGCTACTGTATATAATTTAAACATATTGTGTGATTAATAATACAAAAAATTATTTTACCATATCTTACGAACGTTTCTTCTAATGATCCTATGAACATTTAAAATTTAGTGTCATCATATTCAATGCCAATTATTATGTAAAATCAATGTAAAAGTTTATGAGAAATAATTATAATTGTCTAAATATAATAATAATTGAAATTAAAATTTGCCAATGTTTTCAGCTCCCTTCTTCAATAAATGATATATATATATATATATCCATATTTTATATACTTACTATCTGAAGCTTCTTTAATATGACGATTAAACTTTTTATAAAAGCTTTCTAAAAAAAATAATATTAATAGATTCAAAAATGTTTAACTTTTCATTAAATATTATTTAAATTTAATTGTATAGTTAATTTAATAATGTTTTCTATAGTATAGGATGCTACGTGTTATTCTTATGTATAGTTTTATACCTTTGCATGATTATACAAAAAATATTAAATTTTAATACTAAAACTATGATGAAAATTAGGGCACGATTAGTATTTTGCAGAAAAAGTTTTAATTCTGAATCATTGAAACGAAAATATAGTAAAATTTTAATTACTAGAATCAGGAAAGATCAAAAATACGTTTGATATTTGTTTACTGAGTTATTCACCATGGATGTATTCAAAATTAATTTTTTTACTGTGTAATGTAGGCTAGAGAAAATCTTTTGCTAAATAGCAAATTAAATATTTGGCTATAAATATATTAATATATTTACAATCGGCTGCTAAAAAATTATATACCTAGTTGTTAAATAGAAAACATAATAAATAAATAATGAATAGAGAATAGCCAAAAAAATAACTTAACATTTTTTTTAATTGGAATTAAAATATATAATGACTGATTGTATATTTGAACATTTTTCAGTAAAATATTCACTGAATATGTTCATATAGAAGTAGAACACATCTAAGTGACAACTCATACATAACATTTTATTCTTTTTTTTTTTTTTTAATCAATTTTTACAACATAGAACTATATTTAAAATATGTTTTAAGTTATTTTTCGCGATTACGAAAAATATTTTAAAAATTAATTGTTTTTAAGATTTGAAAATAGCCATTTTATAGGTCAGTTTTACCTATAATAGGAAAAATTTTGATACCTAAAACTCGTATTTTAATTTAATAGTTACGTTTATACAGCATTTTAAAATTTGTTAAATTTTAATTTTTTAGTCTCGATGCGAAATTGAGAAGATATTGGTTTTACTATGATGTGTCTTTTTTTTTTTTTGTGTCTGTTACCACTTTTTCTCAGCTCTTACCAAACGGTTTCTTTTAAAGATACGTCAAAAGATCACAAATCGTATCTAGTCGAAGACATTGCCCTTAAAAATTGAAAAAATTTCCCTCGTTCCCTGTAAAGGGGGAAACCTCCAAAAAAATTACAAATTTAAAAATCGCTAATTTTCGAAATTTTTTCAATTTTTTTTACTAAAAACTGCCGTAACTTTTTCAAAAATGAACATATTAATATAATTTTTTTTTAATAGATGTTTCATGTCTTTACCTATCATTTGGTATATTTTTTTTGTAAATTTGACCTTTTTTCTGCCCACAGAGGGGGATTCAAAATGACAACTTTTTCAACTTAACTTTTGAAAATGTTCCGGAAAGTCTGACACTTTTATGTATATCTTAAATTAAAGCTAATGTAATATACTTTAATTTGAAAAAAAAAAATTGACTTCTGGACTTGTCTTCATGGTGAAAATGGCTACCAAATGATATTTTTGTGTGAAAATTTTCGATTTTATATTTTACATTTTTTACTTTAAAATGCTATAATTTTTTAAAAAATGTATGGATCAATACAATTTTTTTATAAGAAGTAGTATTTATATACATCTTTCATTTGACATACTGTTTTTTTTAAATCGGACCATTTCCATATATACGAGGGGGGTTCAAATATAAAAAATTCATATAGAAAGTAGAACTTTTTCAACTTAACTTTTGAAAGCGTTCCCGAAGGTCTGACACTTTTATATATATCTTTAATTATAGGTAATGAAACATAAATTAATTTGAAAAAAAAAATTTGACCTCTGGACTTGTCTTCATGTCGAAAATGGCTACCGAATGCTATTTTCGTGTTAAAATTCTCGATTTTATTTTTTATATTTTTAACTTTAAAATGCTATAACTTATTGAAATGTGTATGGATCCACACAATTTTTTTATGAGAAATAATGTTTTTTAATAAACTCTTTTTCATTCGACATACTTTATCTTAATCGAGATATTAATAAGGAACTAGCAGATCATGTAGCTTTTGGAATAATACATCAATTTTTATAAAATTAAACACAATCTAATGATTTGCATCGAAGCGTTTATTTTAGCTTCGATGCAAAGCTGAGAAGGTATTAATTTTACTATGTGTTTTTTTTTTTTTTTAATTGAAAAATTTTCCCTCGTTCCCCGTAAATGGGTGGAATTTTCCAAAAAAATTACAATTTTTAAAATCGGTAAATTTAGTCTTTTTTTTCACTTTTTTTCTTAAAGCTACCATAACTTTTTCTAAAATTAACAAATCAACTTAAATTTTTTTTATACTAAAACCTTAGATATTTTCCTTTTATTTGATATCATTTTTTTGAAAATCTAACACTAACAACCTGCTCATTGGGGGGGATTTAAAATAGCAACTTTTTTATAAAAACTAACTTTTTCAACTTTTTCAAATTTTTGTAAATGTTCCGGAAATACTGCGTTCTTTAAATATATATCAAATTAAAGCTTATTTTATGTACTACAAAATGAAAAAAAAATTTTCCCGACGACCTATCTTCTATACGCAAATGGCTACCGTATTTTTCTNACGACCTATCTTCTATGCGCAAATGGTTACCGTATTCAAAAATATGCTATTTTTCTATTAAAATTCTAGGTTTTGTATTTTATTTTATTTTAAAATATTTTATTAGGAGAATATATTGACTTTCATGAATATTATATAATTTAATTGACATAGAATAAAGTTCATAAGACATAAGAAATTAAACTTATTAAATTTTTTTTACTTTTTTAAAGTCGAAAAAGTAATTTTTAAATTTGAGCTAGCTTAAATAGCCAATTTTAGCTTCGATGCGAATTTTTTATATTTTAATACTAATTTTTAATAATATTAAAACTTAGAAGTGATAGAAAAAGTCTAATTGCATCAACATTGCGAAAAGTTGATTTAGAATGGTATATTTTTGTTACTGATGAAAGTTCCTTGTAGTTCAGTGCATTTATTTATAGTAACAAATAGTTTTTATTTTGGAATAATCCATCAATTTCTCTAAATAAAATACTATCTACAGATTTGCATCGAAGCGTTTTTTATGATAGTGATTTTAATCACTGTCAGATATCATCTATACTGGACCCAACTATGCCACGACCCAACTATGCCACGACCCCACTGTGCCGCCACCCTACTGTGCTTAGGTTTTTTGATAGTGATTTTAATCACTCTCAGATATCATTATACTTGATCCAACTATACCACGGCTGGATCAAGTATAGCGACCCCCCTGTGCTGAGTTTTTTTTTACAATTATCCTATGGTATCAAATGTTAGTCCATATTATGTAAAGTACAGAAGTTAAAACTTATTACGTTATTTATTAATAGTAGTACGTGATTTCTTTTCTATGAAAATTATCAACTTTGATTTTAAATTATTAATTTGAATAAGCATTTGTAATTGACATGAAAAAACAAGTAGTAGTATAATTAAGATTATACAAAAAAAATTATAGAAACATTGTCTAAAACATATTGAGTTCTTAATTAAATAAGTTCATATATCATAAATTCAAACGTGAAATAATAGTAAATAAGTGCATTTATTATCAAATCGCCTAACAAGGAATATCTTATAATAATATGATTACAACGATAGAATCACGAAAATTAAAAATTGTTATAACTTTTAACTTGGCTAACAATAGAACACTTATAGTTGATATACGATAATGTTTTGTAATAAATAACTTTTGTAATAAAGATTAAAGATAATCTTATCTGTTTAAAGCGCGTTAAACGTTATTATTATTCATGGAAAAGAAATTGCGTACTGTTACTAATAAATAACGTAATAAATGTTTACTTCTGTACATTACATAATATGGATTATCATTTGATACCTTAGGAAAATTGTAAAAAAAATCAAAATTTAACAAACTTCAAAATTCTGCATAAACGTAACTGCTGAATTAAAATACGAGTTTTTGGTATCAAAATTTTTCTTTAAAACTTGCCTATAAAATTGCTATCTTCAAATCTTACAAAATTAATTTTTAAAATATATTTTGTAATTGCGAAAAATAACTTAAAACATATTTTAAATACAGTTCTATATTGTAAATAAATATAGTATAAAAAACTAAAAAAACACGCTTTTAAAGCACATCAAACTAAATAGTTCAATGTGCTTTAAAAGCGTGTTTTTTTAGTTTTTTAAACTATATTTGAAGAGTGAATGTGTCAAACGTTGTATGTGCCAAAGGTCACAATCTTGTATGTGTTTCAAGTGTCAATTAAATTTTTTATTTGTACAAAATTGCGTTCATAGATTGTATTTGTTCTGTGAGACATGCCCATTGTTACCTGTACGTTCTAAGTGCCTTGGGCAAATATAATAGTTTGATGATAACAATATTATGATATAGTCTGTTATATTTCAAAATAATACTGGTGTTATTGTATTCGTTAAGTTTTCTTTTTCATTTGTTTAATTGTTTTATTATGGATACTGAAAGTATACATATTTTACGAAGTGGTAAAAAAAGAAGAAATGATCAGACTAAAAAAAGAATTAGTGGAAAATCGTATACGACCAGGAAAAGCAATAATACAATTCAGGAAAGCCGTCAACTTAGTTGTTATAACTTTGGAATACATCTCGGTGACAGCAATACAGCCTTTATGTGTATGTGGGATGAAAGTATTGCTTCTCGTGGAAGCTCAGAAATCGCTTCTTGTCTTTTTCAAGTTATTAACAAAAACGAAAATATGATAAATCGCAAAAAACTAATTATATGGTCAGACAACTGTGTTGGCCAAAATAAAAATAAAACGTTAGTAGTTTTAATGTTATATTTAATAAATATGGGGATAATTGATGAGATTATACAAAAATTTTTGATAAGTGGCCACTCTTTCTTGGCTTATGATCGTGATTTCGCTATTATCGAAAAGAGATGTAGAGTTTTTCAAAATTTCACTCCTTCTGATTTACAAGAAATGGTTAGAGCAGCGAAGTTGACAAATCCATTTCGAGT